AGGTGTGTCATAAGCTCATGTGGGAAGCTGGGTATTATACATGACGTCAGGAATAAGGTGATGCATTAGTGAGTTTTCTCCTCCTGCCCAGATCAGAACTCTTTCAACTACAACTAGGATATATATTCACACATATATAATCTGAACAGTTGTGTTGTTTACCTGTGCCACGCAATAATTCTGGGGCTATAATTATATAATTATGAATTTACTCTATCCATGATATTTTAAGAAGTATTTCCTGTAACTGCAGAGTTAGAAATAAAGAGTTTGGCACCCAGCAAAATTCAGAACCATGGCTTCACTGGTTCAACCTTATTATCATATGATGGTCATTAAATAGTCATGTAAAACTTTTTTCATCTATTATAGCACCACATTTCCTTAAAAGAATATCAAAAACATTCAAGTACATAAATCTAAAAAGTATAACTGCTATTGTTCTTTTTAATAAAAATAGTCTTAAAAAACATATCAAAGCAATCTGCCTACTTTAAAAATCTAGCATTAAAAAGTTGAAAGCAATGCATGGCTGGAAAATATAAAGGATAAAAATCCTACCTTGTGGATCAAACAAAAACCAGGGTCTTCCATTTCTGAGTTGTAGAGCTATAAACTCCTCCTGCTGACCTTCAGAGGCAGCAAACATCAACAGACCATGAAGGTTTGATGTCTTAAACCACAAGTCAACACCTGAAATATTCAGAGAAAACATATTGATGAGTGATTTGAGTTCATAAAATTTACTGAAAAATCCTCTAACTGTCTACATTTAAAACACATGCAGTATCAAAGCATCAAAACAATTGTGGAGATGCAACAAAAAATCAACCTATTCAAAACTCTGAGATCAGACTTTTTGAGATGGTGAAACAAACGTGAATTCTGCCCAATTCCTTTAAATAATGAAATTATTTTAATGTTTGCATGCTGATTTTAATTTAGTGACTTTGCATATCCATGATGTTTCAAAATTTTACCAGAGAGTATTTACATATTTCTAGATTTCAGTAAAGAATATTTCTGTCTTGTTTGTCCAAGCCAAGCATTCTGCCCCACCTGTGAAGCCAACACCTTGCTTCAGAGTTTCTGGAGGGAACTTGTAATAGCCTCCCCCTGGAAAACGTGTGCCATACTCCACTCTGAGTGGAGGGTAACTGAAAGCAGTGCTGGTCCTTTCTACCAGGTAATGAGGTGCAGGTCCATTGAATTCCTGTGGGGGCGACCATTTCACTTCCATGGTGGACATATTGTAGCCAATCACACTTGGCTTGCCTTGGCCACGTGGTGCTGGAAAAGATCATAAGTTGCAGGTAATGGATAGTTTTCAATTGGGATTAAATATCAAATTTGTAAGAAACAGTATATCATTTTTATGGCAAAATTAAAACTAAAAGTAAGCTATTACCACTGTGCAATGATGCATTTTTTTTAGCTCCCAAAGATGAGGGGAGTATAGGGAAAAGTGCCCCCTTTACCCCACCCCCTTGAATCTGCCATTATATGATAGAGAATGTAAAATATCAAGACAACACAGCTGAGGGGGTATATAACTGACTTACGTGCTGCAAGTGTTTTCTCTCTGACACTAGTACTGTTCACACATCCCACACTATTACAGGCCTCCACCATGTACTCATGGTACGAGTACGGCGCTAGACCACCATGGAGAAAGAACTCGGAAGTTCCTGGGGCAGTATGTACTAACTAGAAAAAAAATGTACATACACATTGTTCAGATAAGCACTATACTACTACTACTATAGCTAGGAAAAATGCTTCAGTATATATGCTTTGCAAATGTAATTAATTTGCAATGAAGATTTTTCTTTTTTTTTTTTTTCATATAAACATGATCAGTCTTTTAAGTAAATAATTTTTGAAAAACCACACTATTTGGAATAAGTAAGTAGTTTTAAATTTCTTACTAATTTTTGCCACCCCACTTTATACTGTTCACATACAAAAATACATACCTCTTGATAGTATGGAGGAGCAAAGGGATTTTGTGTCAAATTGGTCACTTTTCTCTCATATATCCTGTATTGGACAATAATCCCCCTGGCTTGTCTCTCCTCAGGGGAAGTCCATGTGATATTCAGCTGACTGCTGGAGACAGGAGATATCACTGGGGGAGGCATGGAGAGGGGCACTGGAATGAAACAATTCTTATCTGAATTCTGTGAAGATTGTTAGATGTTCTGTTGAGTTGATATGCACACACATTTCAGAATCTATTTCTGGATGGAAAATGTCATTTAATTGATGATTGCTGCAACTGGTGAGAAACTAAGTGAAATGCAGTGGAGGACTTTATGCCAGCACAAATTCATAGAAATTATCTATTGACAGACATTACAAGTCCAGAAAGAAACATATTTGTATTATTGATCTGAACCTGTCTATCATATATGTTATAAGTCGCCATAATTTACAATAATTCTGATTGTGTTTGTTCATGTAACTTATCCTCAGAAAGTTGGTGCCAACAGCAAGCACAATAAATTTACTACATTTACTTCATTCAGGTATATTGAAAAGTCAATTCTATGTAGTTGGCTATCCAAGTTAAGCAGTCTAAGCTAAGCCCTTTCTATCTTTTAGAGAAACAAGCTTATGAAGCTAAAGAAATTTTGCACTATTTTTCCTCCCTACCTGCTTCCAGAGTCCTTGCCACAACCCACGGACTGGAGGCCTTCCCAATATCATTTTGTGACAGCACCAGGAACTCGTACTCCGTGTAAGGCTCAAGTCCCGTCACCGTGAAGTTGGTGCTAGGGGGGACCAGAGCATTTTCCTGGGGGGTGACAGTGGGCCGAGGGTTGTACTGGCCTGCAGGGTGGAAGATTCGGCTGAGGGGAGGGTTACGTGATCCATCAGGTTGCAGGATACCTTGCATCCACAGCTCATAGAAGATGATGATACCTGAAAACATTGTGTTGTGTTAAAATTTAAAATTCTGAACTGCTTAAAATTCAATTGTCCCAAAAACAGTGGTACTCTTGACAATTATTCAAAAATCTTAGATTTTGGTAGTTAGAGTAATCTTTACATCATGGACTCTTCAAAGATAATAAGACCAAAAAGAAAAAGGCAAAATTCTACATCTACGTACATTTTCTCTCAAATCTATTTCTAGATTCACATGCAAAAAAGACAGGTTCAAAAAGGAAATCCTGTAATTGCAAATTTTGTCTCATGTGTATATCTTCTTATCTTCCAAAAGAGAAAACAGTCTTACCATTAGCCAAAGCAGGTGGTTTCCATTCCACATAGAACGCAGTGCTGCTGATGGCTGTGACATTAGGTGACCCTTGTCCAGTGGGTGCGGCCTGCCTGGTCACTGCCCACACTGGGGTGGCGCTCAGGCACCCGCCCAGGTTACATGCTGTGATGGTGAAGGTATAGTTGGTGTAGGGGATAAGGTCCGTCAGCTGGGTCTCAAATTCCTCTGATTCTGTAAAGAAAAGGGAAGTCTGAAAAACTGATTTCACAAAAAATTATATTATTTTCTTTCATATTTCAACTTGACTTTTTTCTTTTATTCCAACAGTCATCTACAGAGTGAGTGATTGTCCTCTATACCATCATGTGCATGTGCTGAGTCTTATTTCAGTTATTTTTAAAGATTATGAAACCCAGGGTGTGTGAAACTTGTATTTGGCAATGATTTGCTGGGTTGACCTACATAAGTGAATTTCTAGTTTAAATGGAAATCTATCAATGCTACCAAAGAGAGGTCCACATTTCCCTGCCCACTTACTGTTGAAGTGTACCAGAGGAACATCAGGGTTAGAGGGGGTCACTGAGGTCAGGGTAAAGAGGAGAACAAGGCCATTAGGGTCAGTTGGCCGCGTCCACCTCATGTCAGCTGTGTTTACCAGGACATTACTGACCATGAGGTCAAATCTGCCCTGTGGTGGACCTTCAAAAGAAACAAAAGAAAATCTCTTTATAAACAGTTCATTAAAACAATAATGGCCATGAAAGAAAGTCAAAATTCAATTAACAAAAGTGTATTTTTATCAGAATATAATTGGTTGATAGAAATGTCCCAAAATGTTTTTCTTTTACAATCAGCTATGGAAATTTGCAAATACAGAAACAGGTGTGTCTTAGATCTGGTGTTGGGGATTATGGTACCTGACATATAAGTCCATACTTTACCTTCAGGTGTCCTGAAGACAGCCTCTGGGCTCTGTACCAGACCATGTCTGTTCACTGCCTGGACATAGTATGCATAGTCTGTGAAGGGAACCAGGCCTGTGTCATTGTACTCCAGCACTGGAAAGGATAATGTATTTATATGTTTATGTGATATATATAATTATTATATATATGAAAACACAAAGCACTTGTGTTATATGTGACTCGGGTAGTCTCAAGTTTTGTTGTGAATGGAGGCAGTTTGTGTTTGCTAAAGAGGCGATACAATTAAGCAAATATCCTCACTATTAAAAAAATATTATAAAGGCAAGTACAAACTATTCTTTGAGGATATTCAACCCTGATACAGTTTATTTATTTTGCAGAAGAATACTTTAACTAGTTCTTACATAAAAACTTGTCAGTAGCCATACATGTAGAAAAAAAAAACAAGTAATATACGCATATATATATTTCAAATTATACAACATCAAACATAAAATAATTGTAAGGAAAAGGAGGGGGTTTTCAATAGAAAATATGCTTTTAAATCTATGTGTTATATGCACAATTCTGAGTTGAAGTGTTCATAACATTATGCCTCTAACCTGAAAGCAGCAAAAGACACTGAAGCGATATGTAAGATACCACAGAACTGCTATGCTAGACTTATAACATGCATGGTATACATAGCACATAGTGGACTAAAGTATTACAGACAGGATATGCCCCCAGAACTTTCAGAGACTGGGTAGATCAAGACAACTTCATGACAAAATTTCATGATTATATAATTTTTACAATAGATCTTGAGAAATGATGAGAGCTTAGCATATTACAAATTACACTGTGAATGACTATCTAGAATACTAGCATGAATCAGGATGTGGTTGGCGGAACAGGTGTGTTATACATAGGAGTGCATCCAATTACAAGGTGGTGGCATCAAATATTAATAGGCAATCAAGTTATAAGACATGGTCATTGGAAAATCATAATTCAGCTGAAAAATCTTTGTTTCAATGTTTGAAATTCATGTCATACTATAATTCAAATAGTGTTTTGATAGATCTTCAACATAAATGAATGTATGCTTGGAATTGTTAGAACGTCATTAAATGAAAAATATATTATTGGTATTCAGAGTCTCAGATTTTCCAATCACACAGCTGTCTTGGTGATCAGGGGGTAGAACACTGACACAAGGGATATTATGCTACTCTTAGTGCACATGTACTTAATTACAAAGTGTGGACAATAATCTTTACCTTGGGTTACTGCAAGAAATAACAAAGCATAAATGAATGTATTAGTTGAATGCTTGATATATCTACATGCAGTTTAATAATTTCTTTTATCTCTTAATGACTAATCAAATAAATATATTGTGCAATATATTTGCTTTTTTCATGCAGGTATCTGAAATGATTTAGTCTTTCTGAAAGCATCAGTGATTCACAGCCCTTTACAACTTATCAATTTCTTATCAAAACTTTATGCTTCTAGCAGAAAAATGGAGCAGTTATTAACTCATTCTGGCGCCTTCATTATTATTATCAACACATAGCAAAGACTTAATTATGATCATCTACTTAAAATCTACTTTTTAAATAAAGAAAAACACTCTGACATTACTGCCCATTCTCCCAAGACCTACCATTTGGGTCCAGGGCTGCAGCCTGCTGCCCATCTCTAAACAGGAAGTAGGTGAGGATGACCCCATTGGGATAGTCGGGTGGACCCCACATGATACGTAGAGACGTGGCATTCAGTACCATATAGGTTGGCGGTGGCTGCTGCTGAGGCGCTGGGGGGGAAAGAGAGAGATATACATGTTAATCCTGCTTTAAAAAACACAAATACCATTGTCCTTGAGTTATATTACTTATTAAGAAAAAACACTATTTTATCAAAGTTTTTAGATCAATGGCAGCCTTCAGCCTTAACACAATGGGACAACATATGCACTTACACATACATGGATGAACATGATCTTTTCTATGCAGTAAGTAAGTAAGTAAGTAAGTAAACCCCATTTTTTTTAAATTGTTTAAGGTTTTGAAGCTTTATAAACACTAGAAAAACACACACAGCCAAGCACACACACACACACACACACACACACACACACACACACACACACACACACACACACACACACACACACACACACACACACACACACACACACACACACACACACACACACACACACACACACACACACACACACACACA